GTGCGCGCGCCGATCGACCTGTACGGCAAACAGGCTTTCTACTGTACAAATAACTGTACAATATCGCTGTATATTTGTACTGTTATTTGGACGGTATTCGCTGCAGGTGGATAATAAGACATGTCTTCTATGTTAAATATGTTCCTACAATCAATTTTTAAAGAGACACTGCCTCCCCTTATTAATTGGCCACCTCTCTACAACGGACACTTTCTCCTCCGTTGTGGGGTCCGCCTGTCTCGATTGTGATCGTAAAATACTGGAAAGTTGCTCACTGGAATGCCAAAAAGTTGCTAAGAAATTACCAAAAATTCAAAAAGTTGCTACCTAAATTTCTTAATAGTTTTATATAAACGTTAATCAAAGGCTTTATGTTTTTGTTCTTCACAATAATCGCCAACATCAGTCAAGAAAAATAGCTTGAAACTTAGCTTTAAGGAGTTGCACGCAAAATATGGGCGAAATTTAAAGACACCCTTAAGTCTAACGGAACAAAACACTTGGTTCATTTGACGTCTTGCCGAACATTGTCAAGCGACAAGTTATCTGTTCAAAGTTCAGAAAGTTGATAATTCAAGAAATTCGCATAAATTGAAGTTGCTATGAAGCCGTTGACTTTTTTGTGCTTGATATGTGCTCTGAACCTATATTTTGCTCAAAAGTTGCCCAGAAAGGCAAACCTTCCTGAGGTTGCTAGAACCACTAAACAGTTTTCCAAACGCCAAAAGTTGCTCAAAAGTTGCTGAGCACAAGCGGGACATGCCCATTGTGGAGAGGTTCGACTGTTTTAAAATGGAATACGCATGTACCAGGTTACGCTGTCAAATTGAAGACGTCTGGCAGACTTTCAAAACGTCTGTCGTTGTGTTTTGGAAACATCGTTAATCCCTAATTAAAATTTGTTTTCCCTCCAACAATTCACTAAATATCTAAAATCTTGGGTTTTAGGAGCAAATCGAGTACGAGAAAGGTATTCAGTCATAATCGCAGCAGCGCTTTGACTGTGTCCCTTAAATACGAACCCGATTACAAAATCCCGGCAAACGAGAAATTCAACGAAATATACATTCAAAACTAGAAAGATAAGGACATTTATTATATGGCTAGCTCCGTGAGCGGGCAAGATGAATCAAATCCTGCGCTGTGATTGGCTACCCGAGCATGCAAGATGGAGTTATCTTGCCTGCTCGGGACTACCCGTCGTGTCCCGCAAAAAAAAGTTCCCCGAAAGCCACATGGACTCCGTCTCGGTCCATAAACACGCAAAAAAAGAACTTGGCCAATATCCAGCCATCTTGACCTCACACTTGGTCAATAATCCATACATAATTATTCTTCTTTAATTTTGTTTTTACAAAGTAAGGCACTTGTTGGAATTCGTCAATGAAATGAATTTACGTACATAACTGGCTACTCACTTTTCAAATCAAATTACAGTTTAATAACTGAAACGTTTACCTACAATATCTCGCCTCCTATCACTGGCAGCCGGTTCAACGATGAAAGGAGGCTGTTTTCGCAGGCTGCAAGTATTGCGTATTATTAATTTTGTTTTTTTTGAAATGGCATAGTTGACGGTGGTAAAGGGTACTTTAGTGATTTATGAATGCCCTTATTTTTTTCCTGTGAAATATGAAATGGTAATTTTTTTTCTCGTGAGGTTTGATTTCATGGTTTTGTGTAAAATGAGAAATAAAGGTTAATTTCTTTGTGAACCGTTATTTGGACTACTTTTTCTATTATTTTTGACGTCCGTCATTGGTAGAGTGAAGCCTTGGAGCCGATGGCTCAAAGCTGCCGGAGCTTATCCCGGTTTCTGTAGCATGAAGCGGCTAGGAGTATTTGTTAGGTTTCCCCAACAATTCGCCGTCAGTGCGTAATAAACATTACATAATCGTGAAAGGAAATCCGTTCGATCCTTCAACATTCACGGTCTCCAGTATAACGTGTTTCTCCTTCTATCTCTTATCGAGCAAAGTTGTCCTTGGGACATTAATTAACTTTCAAAATCGCATTAATTTTGCATGTTCCAGTGATACGCGAAATATCTAGGATTTTTTTTTTTCGTGAACTGAGAAAAGACCATTTTGTTTTTCGTGAAACGCGAGATTCCCCCCACCCCTACCCCTCACCACCTTCATAGTTTCGTTTTATCAATGTAAAACGTTTGTATAATGACACATTTGCACCTAAGGGATTTTACTACTGTCTTATATCTTCACGGCTGAACTAACAGGAAAGTAAAACTCATCATTAATGAAAGTTTTGACAATTTTGCGGGAAGGTCTCACGGCTCCTCTGAATCCAGAATTCCTCTTCCTTTGGAGTTGCACTTCATCCACTTGTCAGCGATTACCTTGGGGTAAGCTCTTTCTACATGAACCTTCCCCTTCTGTAGCTTCAGATACTGCCTCCCCCGGAACACGTAGGTTCTGCTGTTGAGCCACTTCACAGCTGCATTGATGTAATCAGGGAAGCCCCACGCGCTTCGAATTCTCCTGGGATACCCTGGGTCTGTGCGCCGTGTATCCTCGTTATATCGCCAATACTGCTCATCTTTGAAGAAATACGTCTTTCTGTTTTTCGCCCATGTGAAAACTGCGTCCATGTCTTCAAGAGCTGAAGGCAGGCCGTATCGTGTGATCTGACCAGAATCTTTTAATTTCCTTGCGGAGTCATATTCCCAAAACCTGACCGAAACAAATGTAACAATTATAACAACGACAATGACAACCACATGCCCTTTTGTGGTTTAAAACCTTCTAACGAAAGATCCTAGATGAGTGTATTAACTGGTGAACACAGCCTAGCTTTCTTGGTGGAGCTCATTTCAACAGTGTCGGTAACAAAATATGAAAAGAATCTGTTTGAATGAATGAATAAAAGAAAGACTTTATTCGAATGTCAATGGTATTTAGCTTAAAAAAAAAAAACAAATTGGAGACACTATTTACACATTAAAATATATCTTAGTTACATAAAGCTAAAATTATTTACAATTTAGCTAGAGAAATCAATCAATCAATCAATCAATCAATAAATAAACAAATAAATAACTGAAATGTGTGAACTTAGTTAGTCTTAGTATGACATAAGAACTTAAAAGATATCAAATATGTATATAAATATAAAATTTATAGCGGCCTAGCAGCGTATGTCACATTTGTTACAATTATCTTTTAAGACTGTTGGGTCTTTGCTCTTAATACTCTTTTTAAAACTCTTAACATTAGGTTTCTCTCTATCACTATGGTCTTATTTGTTCCAAAGATTCACTGAAAAACAATGTAACTTTAAATGCAATGTAAGTTAATTTATCAAAAACCCGACACCATTATGAGTTCAAAAATGCAAATTGAAGTGATATCCTACTCTGATCCTTTGAAGAACACCACATTTCCCCGTCTGTTGAGGTAAGCAGCATCTACAGGGGTCTTAATATGCCTATAATATCTTGTGATGGTCCACGGACCACGTCGACGCAGTGCCCTGTCCACGAGCCAGAACCTGTCTCCAACAACGAAGAATGTCCACTTATTTGGACCCACGAACACTGTGTCATAGCGAACGGAGCTGCTGCAAAGATCCGGGACAGTGGGACGAGGAGTGACGACGGCGGGACGAGGAGTGACCCGCGGGCGCGTGGTTGTAGCTTTGGTCGAGGCTTTCGTTGTAGCTTTAGTCGTAGTCTTCACTGTAGTTGGAGTTGGCAATTTTCGCGCGGTTGGCTCTGAAATTATCGCAAAAGTGTTAATCAGTTATTTGAACAAGAACTTTTACAGAACCTACTGAATAATGGCCACAGAAAGACTACTTGCACTCCATCTTTCTTCTTAATGGCTGAACAGCGTTTATCCTATCTAACAAGAACGCAAAAACGACGGGATGGACGTAAAAAAGTTTGAGGGTGAGGTGAGAAGACAAGAAAATAAAACTTTCTCTTCTCCTGGCAAATCTCTTTTCTTCTTAAAGTCTCACAACGTACCCCCATCCTGCTTTTGAGAAAAATCAAGTGGCTTCAAATCAGTCTTAATTAAACTTTTATCTAGGTTTATCTTCACTACGAATTTGGGCTCGAATATCTGGCTTTCTGCTCTGTGAAATCGCTCTAAAAGTATGGGTCAATGCTGCAAATGATGTGCCCCCGTCCATGCTGCGCCAGGAACCTTTTATTAAGTTAATTAAGTCTCGTCATTTCATCAGTATTAAACAATAATTACTTGGGTACAACGCCTGGATCCCTTGTATGTCATCACTCGACAGCTTGATATCAGCGATGTAACCTTTGTACCAAGGGTACATGATGGATTCCCGCACGCCAGAATGTTCAAGACCCAGACTGTGTCCAAACTCGTGAACTGCCACCCAGTCCAAGTTGATGCCGTCACTCGTTCCTGTCGTAAATCTTTCGTCGTTGTCAAAGTGTGCGTCACCAGATAAACCTATCAGAGATTGACACAGAATGTGTTTAAACAAAAGATCGATGAAAAACCACGTAGCCCTTCAGTCCTAAACCATCTTGCCGATAGGGTTGCCGACCTCCTTAGAATAATTCCTCTATATTATTCAAGAAGTGTGTGTAAAGGGGGAGGTAAATACCTCAGCTGCTCTCCGCTGAAGAAACAGAGGTGAGAGAGTTAGATGGACCCCGGGAAATATGACTTAAGTAGCAGGTGCTTGAATAGTAGTCTTAATAGAGAACACGTTGGACCGGAGCGGTGCACACGCGTGGACAATGAAAGAGCCACTTTGCCAAGCGTCACGCACCCTTCCAGCTCGCGCCCTGTACTCAAGCATCTGCTGATAGGGTTTTACGCATTGTGCTCAAAGTTTTCACTATTATGCTAATGCTCGGTGCTCAAAGAGTCTCACTTTTATGCTCCATTGTGCTCACATAAACAAAAAGAAAAAAGAAAATGCGCTTGTTATATCGAAGCGTGAGCAGCGCCTCATCGAAATTCTCCATTGCTCTGGCTTGACTATTACGAACTGAGTTTTCCAGTAACGAGAAAAAAAAATAGTAATAAAAAAAAGTCGCTCAGGTGCAGCAGAAGAGGGCTGAATTAGCAAAACCTTCCCATATGCGAAAGCCTAATTTTGAAGCTATCTGTCATGTTGAGACAACCAGGTAGTTACAGATCTCTCTCGGTCTGCCCAAGGCACGGGATCAGCCAGTTTTTGTCACTATTATTCCGGTATAATTCTCGATTCTTTTGCCTCACTATTTTGTTCAAATAATGCCGTCATAATACGTAAAACCTTACTTGCTACGCAGGGAAATTAGGAATTAAATACTTACCTTTGTTACTGTGAGGGTAAAACGCATGCGCTAATGTGCCACCTGCTCCGTCAAAAGGATAAGGATCACCATGCACCTGACGAACAAAGCTTATGAGGATATCAGCATCTCCACTGTAAACCTCTCTTATCCTTAAATCCGACGAAGATTGCCAAAGATAGAAAGCCTTTCGGAAGATTCTCCGTTGCGTGTAACTTGAAATACCTCTGGTGAAGTTAAGTACCCGGTAAGTTAGATCCTACAAAGTAGAATTGGATCATAACATTATCATCTGATCATTACTTCTAGAGATTGTTGGAAATGCAATAGCGACTAATGGACTCCGCCGAAATCTAGAGGCATGGGCTCGAGCCCTTTCCAGTGACATTTTGCAGTGTTCTCGGGAAAATAATTTTGTCACTCTCACATGCCTTCCCAAATAGCAGAATAAGGGCACAAAGACAAGAATGTTGAGTGGTAACCAGAGACGGAGCGGCCTGGGCCAAGTTTTTCAAAGGGTGGATAACGCTGAAGTGTTAACAAAATAAACCACGCTATTCATAGAATTATTAACCCGGTGGATAGCGTTATTTGCCTTTGAACGACCTGGACGAATGCCGAAAAATACCTAGCCTAGTTGCAATATTTAGAGAAAAGGATAATTCAGAACGAACAGCACAAGTAAAATAAAAGTTCCTATTGAGTTAACCCCTATAGGCTAATCTCCTTTACGCAGACGTCCTTTGGAGTCTAACGTCATCACGGCTGCGAGAAAACTACCGGTTTAGGGGGGATGTTCCTATTTTTTAAAGGTCGCTGTGACATCGCAGGGGAATGAAAAGGGCAGGGCATGGTTTGAAACGACTAAAATTACTCCTAACTGTGGACTTCGAGCTGCTGTTTCCACCCCTTAGCCGTTTTGAGCGAGATGCGAAAAAGTCAGTCATATCTTTATTTATATGATATGCAGGGCGATCCATGCAGCAGTAGGCTAGAATAAATAGGGTCCGCACTACGTAACTTATGACTATTGCAAGATAAAAAAACCTATCGAAACAAAAACCTTTGCACCTCTATTTTATGTTAGGGGATGAACTTACTCTTTTCTTCCAGATAGTCCCTTGTAGATTGAATCTTCCAATGACGCTGTTACTCGAATCCTTCAGGCCGCATCGGTCAGTGTTGATGAGTTTGATGGTAGCTGCGTCTATTTTTCCAGTGACTGGGATATTGCCGAACCTCTGAAGTCTCCTTACCGAGGCCTTAAATTCTGCTGAGTTTGGACTCAATGCTCCTCCAACCTTGTCGTTGTCTTCTGCCAGGTAGCCAAATTTCAACAAAAACGATGCCTGAGGAAATATAAGTGAAAAGAATTATTAGGGATGAACCACGATATTTACAAAAAAAGTTGCAAAAAATAGTGCACAGCGAGGCAATTCTAGACAAATCTTAACTTGTACGACCAGAAAACGCTGAGGAAAAGAAATTATTGCGTAGGAAAATTGCCTAACTGCCCCTCTCGCTAAAAAATATCATATTCTCTCGCTTTAAGAAAGTAAGTTGACGCACGCGAACTGCATGCTAAGTTCCCACACTGAGGAAAAGCCAATTCAACAGAGTGACAGGAGAGGCACAATCACAATCACAACTCTCAGGTATAACAATGAGGCCATATCGTTGGACCCAAAAAAGGTCTTGGCCTGAAACTGACGAGACCCAAAGCAGCAAACGTAACAAAATTTTAAACCCAAAAATATTTTCACACCTTCCGGCTTCAATAACTGAGTATCCCTCCTTGGAAGACAGTGAATCAAAGCTCTTTGAAATCGCTCTTAAACACTTAACACTCAAAACGTCACGGCAACCTAACTTATATACAGAGGAATTAAGGGCAAGCGTTTTTTGAAATTATATTGAAAAGTACGGTTCTATAAAAATGCTCACTTGGGATATTTGTGATCTCAGCAGGCGGTAAAGTGTCGAAAGTAACTTCTCGCGTTACTTTTGGTTTCAGCAACCTTCTCTTACCAATCTATCGCTAGTTTGAGAGTTACAACTTCCGCGAAGTCGCTTTTTTCGGTTAGCTAAAACGTGTACCACGTGTGGGCCGATACAGCTTGGTAAAAGTAAAGATGTTCAGGAAAACATGACAGGGCTCAATCTCGTTGAAAAAAAATATGTTACATTATACAAACAACGTATCATGTTGCTTTTGTAAAAAGGGTCATATACAGCAAAAACCAAAAATTACATATAAGATCCTATGATTGTAGTGATCCAGTATAACATCATAATTTTGAGGCCGCTATCCACCGCAGCCGTGTTTTCCGATATTCCTGACACGAACACAATAGTGACCCAGTGCAAAGTGGCTTGAATGTTGTGTACAGCTGATACAGATCCCCACGGGAAAAATTCTTTCAATTTATGCTCGAAAACTATTGAAATGTTTAGTTTCCTAGCTTTCGGTGGAACAGTATTCGATCAAAGTCTCTTGTTGTTAGTATGTGCTCTCTAATGAACAGCTTAAGAAACTCAAGATCAGATGTATGACGAGCTGTGTCAGTGAACTGTCAGAACTTTCATGTCTAGCCTACCATTGCCGTCAGGCCGAAACGAGTTATGACTCAAAGTACTTTGTCTTCCTTTGAGAGAGCTTGCCTTCGTTAACGATATGAAAACCAAATGTAAAATTCTGCATTCAGACTCGTGGTAACTACATTATTATTGCATTCATTTGAGTGATATCTCACCGTTTTGTATGTCTGTGTTGTTGGAGCGCTAAACACGCGGTTCAGTACAAACGCAACGAGAAATGCTGTCACCATATGCAAATTTCCTTTCATTTTTCAGCCTCTGTGCTTGGTATGGCTCTATAAACTTGGTTCTGTGACTCTAATGAGCGTTTTTAGACGCGGTTCTTTCGTCTAGATACGTTGATGTTCGTACGTAGATGTAATTTAATTTGACTGAATGACATGAACTTGTGTTTCACAAAGGTGTGACTCACCCCCCGGAGTTAGCTCAGTCTTCATGTCCACACCTCCGGTTAATTACCACAGTCATCCCAACCCTGTTCCAGACGTTTAGTTCGCCTTAGTTGCTCTTAGTTATCCTGAGCCAAGATAAATAATTGTCCCCAGTTCATTGCGTGGGTGTCGTTACATGTGAATCGATCAGTATTAATTTTTGCGAAGAAATTCGCTCAATCGTAAGGTAGGCTGCGTCTCAGACGGACCCCGGTATACCGGCGGTTTAGGCTGTCTGCGACGCAGGCTATCGTAAGGAAGCCATCGGCAAACTTTTCGCGCATCGGCTCCCCTCCAAAAATGACGTCTTTTCCTTTAGCTAACAGACAAGGATATCTTGTATCGATTTATGATGGATTTGTTGTTGAAAATGATGAACATGAGGTCGTCTCAAAGAACTCAAAATTTCTTGGAACAAGGCGCTGTTTTCGAAACTGCTGTGTGAAATTTCGTACAGTGTGATCACTGCACCCGGACGATCACACTGTACGGACTACTGACAATCCTGAGTTTAAACCATGTACTATGTTATGAAAGATTTCTCGGTCAACCAAGCTGTAGATAGTATGGCTCCTAGTTAGAGCGGTTTTGGTAGCTGTCTTTAAATTCCGTTAGCATCCAGTGCTCCCTGGTAGGAGGTGAGCCAAGGCTCATTTGGCTAGCAAACATGTCAGAGGCTGATTTCCACAGCACTCTTAACCAGCCTTTGCGTGCCCACTGGGGCCCACTGATACTGATCATTTCATTATTACGCCAGCGTTATGTCAACTTTGGGCGCGACGCGGAGGCGCAAATATGGGCTTCAAAGACCTTTACACCCTAAAGTTGGATGATCGAGGAGATTTAAGCCAAACTTTACGACTGATGACTTTTCCGTAAATCTTTATTTTCATGTTGCGCCTGAATCCAACAGAAATCAGACGAACTCGTGATGGCATGATAAACATATTCATGAAAACTGAATTGCTCGGCGGGGGAATATCCATATGAAAAGGACGGGGGTACTCGTCGGAAATTTTGAAATGAACCCCTCGTGTTGCTAAGAGGCATCAATTCTAAAACAAAGCATTATCTCCTGTAATATTTTTTTCGGCTTAATACTCTAAAAAAATACCAAAAAAGGTCCCCCCTGTGTACCTTTTGAGGCTTACAGCCTAAGAGGTACCAAAATCGCGTTTTTAACCCCTAATTTTTATCTGAGAGTCTCCCCGGGGCTGAATTGTATATGCATTGTGTATATGCATTGTATATGCATCTGTTTTGAAACAGAGTACAGATTTGAGGGATTAAGTCTAAAAATATTACGAAGAACAGATTTAAGACATGATGCCTAAGAGAAAGTTTAGAGAAATCGTAGTCTACAAAAGACACGGAAATGCACAGGACACTCATCCTCAAAATGCCGGGGTGCATTCAGCGAGTAAGGCTCCCAGCAGAACATCATTATTTGGGAATTGGAAAGATAATAATTATTTTCAAAACAGAGTCAAAGATTCGTTCAGTAGAGGTCTTCTGTCTGCTTTTTCAGCCGTCAAAACAACTGCAATCTGAAACTGTGTCAACAAGCGCTTTGGCCCCTAATCTGGTCGAAGAAAGATGAATTGCTTTTGTTTGCTCCTCTCTTGCCGTGATGCTCATTGAAGGTAATGAAATATCCCTGAGTGTTTTGACAACCACATGCTCATTAAACTAGATATTCTAAATATTCATTAATTTTCCCTCACTAAGATACAGAACACTGAGTGACAGTTTTTGTTTTGATCTCAGAAACGTTCTCCTGATGATAGTGTTAGATGAACATAACGGGAAAGGCCGAATCATGAACTGAATGGTGAGTTCCGTCCCGCGAGCTGCCGATGAGAAGAAGAAGAAACACGACAAAAAGACTGTATTGCAGCAGGAAATGCAGTCTAATGCAAGTTGCAATCAAACTAATAATAACCTCCTGAATAACATGGAAACTACAGTTGGATATTTCCTCAATGTCCAAAATAGTTTTACCTTCACCCTCGAACATAGCTTATACCGGATTTGTACTCTGGCGCAGAGGTTTACTCTAGCTTTTTGTCGTTCATTGCGCTCAATTTTTCTTTGTGTCACGATAACAAATTAAGTCTTAAATGCGAGTAACTCCGTCTTACCGTTTTCTTTGTCTGTTCAAACGGAGCGCACTGCACGCAATTCAGTACAGACAGCAGAATTGCTAAAGTGATAAGAGTACAGAACTTCCCTCTCATTGTTTAGCCTCTGTTCAGTGTAGCTGATTTGCAGATAACGTTTTGTAGATCGTTTATCACTCCTCAGTCCAGGAAGGATTTTACTCTGTGTGTACTTGCCGTTGTACGCAGATTTAGCCGTTCGATTCCTCGGGCGCCTCTATGAAAGACGGAAGGGTACAGAAGCCTGGATACAACCAAGGTTTGGTTACTCTGTCGTTGTGTCATCGGCTGCTTAATTACTTTGAGCTGAGAGAGTGGAATTGAAATGTTAAACTCAGTCAATATTTATATGACTCAGATACCGACCCTACAGCATAATTGGATAGACGGATCACGTCACGGTATTACGTTAGCATTGCCGGGCAACGAATGCAGTACAGTACAGGAAAAATTCCATCAATTTTCGCCAGTCTCAGCAAACATCTAGCCTGTGAACAGGCTCCAGCTGAAAGAGCCAAAAAAGAACTGGCTGAGTGTGAGGTGGCATCCTTTTTCTTGCCGCTTTCTCTTCGCCCCATCCTAAATAGAAAGCCTGTTCACAGGCTAGCAAATATAGTAAAATCAAATGGTCTGTTTGAAATGGCTATAGGTAACGAAGTTCGCTTTGAGGAACGTATTTCTAGTGTTCGTTTTTCAAACCTTTCAATTTATGTCTTTTTCCTGGCGAAATGTCGTGCGCGAGTGTTTTGTTTGAGCGTGCGCGAGTGTTTTGTTTGAGATCGGCAAAGCCTCGAGGAGACTGGGGAGTAGTCAAGTTGAGCGCGAAATTCCCTTGCGCGCGAAATCCTGCCAGCCACACAGGTTGGCTCATTAAAAAAGTTATTGATTCCAGTCGTCGGAGCGAGGGCCCGAAATTATGATGGGTGACCCCATGGGGGAGTTAGGGGGGAAGGTTTGGACCAAGTACGGTCTGGAGGGAACCCCGTCGGGGCTTAAGAGGGAATTCTACCCAGCCTAAAACGGCCAAATACAAAATTATCTTTGAATCTTTAACGCCAGTGGAAGGGAGCTTCAGTAGGACACTGACAGACAAGGAGGGAGAGGACGAAGGAAATCGATCCAAACTGGAAGTTCAGTTTCAAAGCTGATAAACCCAAAATAAAGAGCCCCTTTTAGCCGGTGGTCACTCTCTCTGTAGTGTTCTGTCCGGAAAGGTTAAAACCTGGTAGCCATGTTGTATCGCATGTTACAATTTGAAGAACAGACAGAGACAAAAGCTTTCCGAGAGATACTCCAGATACTCTTGTTATCCTTGTCCCTCGCCGGCTTTCAGCTCTATGTTGCGCTAAAAGTCGTCGGGAAGTCACGCGAATCGTGCCATGGAGCATCATCTCAACGAAAAATTCAAGTTTGCACTAATAATCCTAGACAGTTTTGTTCTTTATGAGAGACAAGAAAAAGACAAAAGTATCATGTACTCAGTTATGAGGATTTCCACTTTGGAGCCGCGAAAAAGATGCAGTGGATGTCGGCCGAAGCAACCTTTTGCCATTAGGTCTCAAAAGAGGACAAGATGAAAATACCGGCGGCGGAAATCTGGATCCCCCCCCTGAAAGCAGTCAAGGCAGTCTGAAAGCTGGCAACAAATTAAATTAAAAAGGAAAAACGCGGAAAACTAAAGAGTTTATTCGAAGTTGATGATCTTCATATCTCTTAATATCAGTTTCCTTTACGTCAGAACGTTATCTTAAGTTGAAACTTTGTTTATCCTGGTTTATCAGCTGCCTGACTTTCAAAATCTGCTATACTGACACCTACACCTAATTCTCTTTGGATAGGCTTTATTGATTTACGTTTTCCCGCAGCCTAAAGACCCTCACAAACGCACGTGTTGCAGACCGTGATATTCGATGTCGATCATCAGACTACTAAAGTAGGAATTTTAGATCGTTTTGAAGTGACCTTGAACAGTTTTAGCCTCGCATTAGAACTCTGTTGAACCGGTGAAAGAGTTGGCAAGGATAAGGCAAGGAGTAGGCGCAGTGTAGGCTAGATTGCTTAGCACAACAAAGTCGAGAAAATCGTGATCAAAATTCAAGATACGCCAAGCGAGCGAATATTACTGATTGCCGTAACACGGACCAGGCCCGGACTAACTATTTCAGCTCCTGGCCTGACTTCAGTCGTTTCAGCGTTTCAGCGTCGTATATTTTTTCATCTCAGTATTTGCATATATATATTTTCGTATATTTCGTAACTACTGATTTTTTGAACTAGAACTGCCGGTTCGTACGTATCGTCTAAAAAAAAGGAGCCGAAAAGTGCTGGCCGCCCTTTATAAACCGTGCAGGACCCATAAGGAGCTCTGTAAGGGTAGAAAACAAACTGTAAAAGAGTTTTCGGTTCACGATGCTATTTGATGGAAAGGGAACAACACTAACCCCCCGACCAAACCCTACAGAACGGCTGTATTTAGCCCCCGGGGAGAGGGTTGCTCTGTAAATCATTGGGAAGGGGTGTGCCGCTGGGAAAGTGAAACCCTTACCCTATACTAGACCATAATCAGCTTGATTTTGCAAGCCTATTCTAGACTAGGCACCAAAATCCCCTACCTTACTCTACCCTACCATACCCTACCCTACCCTAGACTAGCTGTTGTCCATGTAGAAACTTTATCACTGTTGTAGTCCAACACTATGCTAACTAAACCGATATCTTACGAAGTCACTAGCTTTCGACTCTCAATTTCTATTAGAGAACCCTTGGTAAAGAACCCTGTTCCAGACTAAATTATTTACATACTGGCCCCTTTTCCGGTGAATTATACCCTATTCTAGACCAAAACTGTCTGATTTCTATATACCCTATCCCATACTAAAGGGCCTGAAAACCATACCTTTCACAGCGGTTCATACCTATATCTTATATATGGGAGTACCCCCAGGTATTTTACCCGTATTCTTCCCTAGAAAGTTCAGTGAGGCAAGTTGCTTGATAATGTTTGTCAGAACACCACGAAGTTGATGAATTTCACCGGAAATGCGTGGAAGGGAAGTTGTTAATGTCAGTGAGTGTCTGGCGCTAAAACCTGCCTGATATGTATCATCAGGCAAAAGATTACTGAACAGTAGGAAACCACGTGGATTATCTTTGTGTCTATGTCACGTTCATTTAAAAGAATTACTAAGTACGTGAGAAGCATGAAGTTAATTTTCTAGTCCTTGAAATTGTCGGAGAGTCACGTTCGTGTTATTCATGTTATTTTTTGTCGAGTGTCGTGTCTGACGGAGCTTCGTCCGACATTCGATGCGACGTTTTTTTACGTTGTTTTTACAGGAATTCGCTCTCAGCCAATTTAGCCTTTTTGGGTCGATGTGAAATGTCGGAAATAAGCTTAAACATGTTTAAGAGGTTTTACAATTGCTGAATCATTATGATGAATCAACGCAGAATTTCTTTCAAAGTTAAGATTCCGGATGTGTTGTAATACATGAACTCTTTCCACAAGTCACGTTGCCAGGAACAGTAGCTTCGGGAAAGGGGGCGCGGNTCCAGACGTTTAGTTCGCCTTAGTTGCTCTTAGTTATCCTGAGCCAAGATAAATAATTGTCCCCAGTTCATTGCGTGGGTGTCGTTACATGTGAATCGATCAGTATTAATTTTTGCGAAGAAATTCGCTCAATCGTAAGGTAGGCTGCGTCTCAGACGGACCCCGGTATACCGGCGGTTTAGGCTGTCTGCGACGCAGGCTATCGTAAGGAAGCCATCGGCAAACTTTTCGCGCATCGGCTCCCCTCCAAAAATGACGTCTTTTCCTTTAGCTAACAGACAAGGATATCTTGTATCGATTTATGATGGATTTGTTGTTGAAAATGATGAACATGAGGTCGTCTCAAAGAACTCAAAATTTCTTGGAACAAGGCGCTGTTTTCGAAACTGCTGTGTGAAATTTCGTACAGTGTGATCACTGCACCCGGACGATCACACTGTACGGACTACTGACAATCCTGAGTTTAAACCATGTACTATGTTATGAAAGATTTCTCGGTCAACCAAGCTGTAGATAGTATGGCTCCTAGTTAGAGCGGTTTTGGTAGCTGTCTTTAAATTCCGTTAGCATCCAGTGCTCCCTGGTAGGAGGTGAGCCAAGGCTCATTTGGCTAGCAAACATGTCAGAGGCTGATTTCCACAGCACTCTTAACCAGCCTTTGCGTGCCCACTGGGGCCCACTGATACTGATCATTTCATTATTACGCCAGCGTTATGTCAACTTTGGGCGCGACGCGGAGGCGCAAATATGGGCTTCAAAGACCTTTACACCCTAAAGTTGGATGATCGAGGAGATTTAAGCCAAACTTTACGACTGATGACTTTTCCGTAAATCTTTATTTTCATGTTGCGCCTGAATCCAACAGAAATCAGACGAACTCGTGATGGCATGATAAACATATTCATGAAAACTGAATTGCTCGGCGGGGGAATATCCATATGAAAAGGACGGGGGTACTCGTCGGAAATTTTGAAATGAACCCCTCGTGTTGCTAAGAGGCATCAATTCTAAAACAAAGCATTATCTCCTGTAATATTTTTTTCGGCTTAATACTCTAAAAAAATACCAAAAAAGGTCCCCCCTGTGTACCTTTTGAGGCTTACAGCCTAAGAGGTACCAAAATCGCGTTTTTAACCCCTAATTTTTATCTGAGAGTCTCCCCGGGGCTGAATTGTATATGCATTGTGTATATGCATTGTATATGCATCTGTTTTGAAACAGAGTACAGATTTGAGGGATTAAGTCTAAAAATATTACGAAGAACAGATTTAAGACATGATGCCTAAGAGAAAGTTTAGAGAAATCGTAGTCTACAAAAGACACGGAAATGCACAGGACACTCATCCTCAAAATGCCGGGGTGCATTCAGCGAGTAAGGCTCCCAGCAGAACATCATTATTTGGGAATTGGAAAGATAATAATTATTTTCAAAACAGAGTCAAAGATTCGTTCAGTAGAGGTCTTCTGTCTGCTTTTTCAGCCGTCAAAACAACTGCAATCTGAAACTGTGTCAACAAGCGCTTTGGCCCCTAATCTGGTCGAAGAAAGATGAATTGCTTTTGTTTGCTCCTCTCTTGCCGTGATGCTCATTGAAGGTAATGAAATATCCCTGAGTGTTTTGACAACCACATGCTCATTAAACTAGATATTCTAAATATTCATTAATTTTCCCTCACTAAGATACAGAACACTGAGTGACAGTTTTTGTTTTGATCTCAGAAACGTTCTCCTGATGATAGTGTTAGATGAACATAACGGGAAAGGCCGAATCATGAACTGAATGGTGAGTTCCGTCCCGCGAGCTGCCGATGAGAAGAAGAAGAAACACGACAAAAAGACTGTATTGCAGCAGGAAATGCAGTCTAATGCAAGTTGCAATCAAACTAATAATAACCTCCTGAATAACATGGAAACTACAGTTGGATATTTCCTCAATGTCCAAAATAGTTTTACCTTCACCCTCGAACATAGCTTATACCGGATTTGTACTCTGGCGCAGAGGTTTACTCTAGCTTTTTGTCGTTCATTGCGCTCAATTTTTCTTTGTGTCACGATAACAAATTAAGTCTTAAATGCGAGTAACTCCGTCTTACCGTTTTCTTTGTCTGTTCAAACGGAGCGCACTGCACGCAATTCAGTACAGACAGCAGAATTGCTAAAGTGATAAGAGTACAGAACTTCCCTCTCATTGTTTAGCCTCTGTTCAGTGTAGCTGATTTGCAGATAACGTTTTGTAGATCGTTTATCACTCCTCAGTCCAGGAAGGATTTTACTCTGTGTGTACTTGCCGTTGTACGCAGATTTAGCCGTTCGATTCCTCGGGCGCCTCTATGAAAGACGGAAGGGTACAGAAGCCTGGATACAACCAAGGTTTGGTTACTCTGTCGTTGTGTCATCGGCTGCTTAATTACTTTGAGCTGAGAGAGTGGAATTGAAATGTTAAACTCAGTCAATATTTATATGACTCAGATACCGACCCTACAGCATAATTGGATAGACGGATCACGTCACGGTATTACGTTAGCATTGCCGGGCAACGAATGCAGTACAGTACAGGAAAAATTCCATCAATTTTCGCCAGTCTCAGCAAACATCTAGCCTGTGAACAGGCTCCAGCTGAAAGAGCCAAAAAAGAACTGGCTGAGTGTGAGGTGGCATCCTTTTTCTTGCCGCTTTCTCTTCGCCCCATCCTAAATAGAAAGCCTGTTCACAGGCTAGCAAATATAGTAAAATCAAATGGTCTGTTTGAAATGGCTATAGGTAACGAAGTTCGCTTTGAGGAACGTATTTCTAGTGTTCGTTTTTCAAACCTTTCAATTTATGTCTTTTTCCTGGCGAAATGTCGTGCGCGAGTGTTTTGTTTGAGCGTGCGCGAGTGTTTTGTTTGAGATCGGCAAAGCCTCGAGGAGACTGGGGAGTAGTCAAGTTGAGCGCGAAATTCCCTTGCGCGCGAAATCCTGCCAGCCACACAGGTTGGCTCATTAAAAAAGTTATTGATTCCAGTCGTCGGAGCGAGGGCCCGAAATTATGATGGGTGACCCCATGGGGGAGTTAGGGGGGAAGGTTTGGACCAAGTACGGTCTGGAGGGAACCCCGTCGGGGCTTAAGAGGGAATTCTACCCAGCCTAAAACGGCCAAATACAAAATTATCTTTGAATCTTTAACGCCAGTGGAAGGGAGCTTCAGTAGGACACTGACAGACAAGGAGGGAGAGGACGAAGGAAATCGATCCAAACTGGAAGTTCAGTTTCAAAGCTGATAAACCCAAAATAAAGAGCCCCTTTTAGCCGGTGGTCACTCTCTCTGTAGTGTTCTGTCCGGAAAGGTTAAAACCTGGTAGCCATGTTGTATCGCATGTTACAATTTGAAGAACAGACAGAGACAAAAGCTTTCCGAGAGATACTCCAGATACTCTTGTTATCCTTGTCCCTCGCCGGCTTTCAGCTCTATGTTGCGCTAAAAGTCGTCGGGAAGTCACGCGAATCGTGCCATGGAGCATCATCTCAACGAAAAATTCAAGTTTGCACTAATAATCCTAGACAGTTTTGTTCTTTATGAGAGACAAGAAAAAGACAAAAGTATCATGTACTCAGTTATGAGGATTTCCACTTTGGAGCCGCGAAAAAGATGCAGTGGATGTCGGCCGAAGCAACCTTTTGCCATTAGGTCTCAAAAGAGGACAAGATGAAAATACCGGCGGCGGAAATCTGGATCCCCCCCCTGAAAGCAGTCAAGGCAGTCTGAAAGCTGGCAACAAATTAAATTAAAAAGAAAAAACGCGGAAAACTAAAGAGTTTATTCGAAGTTGATGATCTTCATATCTCTTAATATCAGTTTCCTATACGTCAGAACGTTATCTTAAGTTGAAACTTTGTTTATCCTGGTTTATCAGCTGCCTGACTTTCAAAATCTGCTATACTGACACCTACACCTAATTCTCTTTGGATAGGCTTTATTGATTTACGTTTTCCCGCAGCCTAAAGACCCTCACAAACGCACGTGTTGCAGACCGTGATATTCGATGTCGATCATCAGACTACTAAAGTAGGAATTTTAGATCGTTTTGAAGTGACCTTGAACAGTTTTAGCCTCGCATTAGAACTCTGTTGAACCGGTGAAAGAGTTGGCAAGGATAAGGCAAGGAGTAGGCGCAGTGTAGGCTAGATTGCTTAGCACAACAAAGTCGAGAAAATCGTGATCAAAATTCAAGATACGCCAAGCGAGCGAATATTACTGATTGCCGTAACACGGACCAGGCCCGGACTAACTATTTCAGCTCCTGGCCTGACTTCAGTCGTTT